TCTCCACTTTGGTCTCGTCTGTTCAAAGGACTTTGTTCTAGAAGTCTTATGGTTTGTTCAGATGCTACTTTGCAAACCTAAACCATGCTGCCATGTTTTTTTTATAGAGAAGAGGCTTTCTTCTGGCAAGCCTGCCAAACATGCCATACTTGTCCCATATTTGTCTAATTGTACTGTCATGAACTTTATCATTTAACATGTTAACTGAGGCCTGTATAGTCTGCGGTGAAGTTCTTGGGTTGTCTGCCATTTCTATGAGCGTTACACGGTCTGATCTTGGGGTGAATTTGCTGGGACTTTCACTCCTGGGAGGATTGGTGTCTGTTTTGAATGTCTTCCACTTTTGAATAATCTTCCTCACTGTAGAATGATGGACTTCAAATTGTTTGGAAACGGCCGTATTACTCTTCCCAGGTTGATAGCAGCAACAATTGCTTCTCTAAGATTATTGCTGATGTCTTTTCTCCTTGGCATTGTGTTAACACACCTGAAGGCTCCAGACCAGCAAACTGCCAAAACTTCTGCTTTTATGGAGGTGCTCACACTTGCTGATGATCAGTTAATCAAAGGTATTTGATTAGCAGTGCCTGACTGTTACTTACCCTCTTAATTCCTATGTTAACAGTAAGGGTGTCCTAACTTTGTCACGCATGGCGTTTCCATTTTGGCTTTATTTTTGTTAAATAAATAGACACGGTGCAATATGTCATGTGTTGCTGTTAATCTGAGGTTTTATTTTCCAAAATTTAAGACCTGCCAAGGACCAGATATTTTTTTATTATGCCCTGATACAGAAAACCATGGAATTCAATAGGGTATCCTAACTTTTTCACATGACTGTATATACTTTAGTGATGCTCCTGGACACATAATCAGTGACGTTCCCTGGGGTCATCGGGTGTTTCAGGTTTTTCAACAATCAGACACCCTCACCCAGACGACCCAGCCGGGGTTGATCAAGCCCCGACTTGTGTCCAGGTAGCACTGGACACCAGACTGCAAACCCTCTACATCCCACCTCTATAGGCTCGCACCTTGCTCGCCAGCTGTTCCTTCGGCACTCTTCTACCAGCTCTGTGTACTTGGTTCTCTTCCTCTCGTTGGCCTCCTCGATACGGTCCTCCCAGGGGACTGTAAGTTCTAAGAGGATGATCTGCTTGGAGGCTTCTGAGCTCAGCACCATATTTGGCCCTAGCGATGTTATGGCAACCGTTATACATACATACATATATATTATCTATATATACATACAGTCCCAACCACTAATATTGACCACTAATATTTAAAGTGACAGTAAAGACTTTTACATTGTTCCAAATAAATCCTATTTCAAATAAATTTTAAACTTTCTATTCATCAAAGAATCCTGAAAGAAATATATCATATTTCTGTATATTATTAAGCAGCAACTTAGTCAGCATATTAGAATCATTTCTGAAGGATCATGTGACACTGAAGACTGGAATAATGCATGCTGAAAATTTAGCTTTACTGTCACAGGAAAAAAAATACATGTTAAAATAGATTAAACTTCAGGATAATGTCAATATTCACATTATTTTCTTGGGAGCAGATTTTAGTATATTGTACCTTTTAACATTTCCAGGAAGAAAGACTAATAACACAATTGACTTCTGGCTGTCTCTGGACATTGATAGAAAAAAGAGCTCATTTGGCAACTGGCAGACCATGTTGGCCTTGGAAAGAGTGAAAGTTTTGACAGGAGCTTTGCTATGTATTGCAATTGATCCCTGGAGCTCTTTCAACATAGAGACAGTCGCTGCTTGTAGGAAATCAGTTCTGAACCTTTGGGTCTGTTTTATGATGTCTATTACTCCATTGTATTTTAAAGCACAATATACACATAAGTGGTACAAGGACAATTTATATATTTCTCTCCAGCTGAAATAGCCTGCAGTATTTCAGAGAAATGTGTTGAAGTAGAAGTTCTCCAAATATACTCCAAAGTATGTATGTTTTCCTACAGTAAAGGCCTGAGAGTCCACACCACAACTATAATATAACAATGACGGCACAGAGGAACAATATCATTGGAATCAATTTCAGAACGATTTTTATTTTTCCAGCTGATGAACGATCAAAATATTGACAGCTAATCCATCCTGCTTTTAAAGAGCTTGAGCATTTAAAGTGGCAGATGACATAACTGCAGCGTGTGCTTATTATAAACAGAATGTTATTGTGCATTGGTGTGGAATGCTAGTTATTGTTATCGTGATCATGATTGTTTTTGGTGTGAATGGGCATTAAGTGGCTTTCTGTCCTTAATGTTTAAAGGGGTCCTATTATGCTCTTTTACAAAGACTTGATTTTGTTTTGGGGGTGTACTAGAACAGGCTCTCATACTAGTTTGTTCTTCTCCATGTTTGCTTTTCCAACACACTCTCATTACAAATCCAAATAATTTGTACAACATGATGGTATTGTGTAATGAAGTTATGATTTTGATCGTATGAAAATGTTACAGTTAGGTTTAGGTGTTGGGTTTTGTTACATTTCAGTTTGGGTTGTATTTAATTGGTGCAGTTTTTATGTTGTACTTAATTTTTTGCCATCATTTATGAATTATTTAAACTTTTTATCAAACCATGTTGACTTTTAAGAAACAAAATGCATGCAATTGTAAAAAAATATATAGATTATATAAAATATTATTTTTTATAGATTAGATTAGAGATTATCTTAAAATTCTTAGGCCTTCTAGAAATATGTAGTATTGTAGTGTGCATTATAGTATATTAAATTAAAACGCAATCAGAGTGTTCCTAAAAGGGTACAGATAGCACAAGACTGTACTTTTGGTTCCCACAGTCTGTTTTGAGGAAAACAAACACAAAAAGTGAGACAGACAAAAAGCTGTACAGAATATATATTCTTTGTTGCCACGTCAGCAGAAAGCCATGTGAAAGACTCCATGAGAACTGTCGCACACAAGGGGCCTTGATAGAAATTTACTCTTGGGGGTCTTAAATACTTTTTTTCTAGTCCTGAATGGTATTATTTGTAACCTAAGTTTAAGCGTCAGTATCTAGTAGCAGTATCTGCATAGATGTAGTCAGTACAGCTCAGTGCAGTAACATGGATAAACAGAATTTTTCAAGTAAATACAGTGAAACTGTAAGTTATGGTGAGGAGGATAGAGGTTCAAGCAGTGATTTTGGACTTAACGTGGTCTTTACAAAGGTTCGGGTAAACCAGCAAAACCAGGTTTGTGACAGGAACAGTTTTCAGGTGGTGCCACAACTAGTTTTGGCTAACTATGCCTAATCAGCAGTGTATGTTGGGTATGTTTGTATATGTATTCACAGGACTGTTTTCAAAGCAGCTGTCATTTCTAATCCATTGGTGTCTCTCTAGTGGGTTAGAATGTGGGTCTACGTTGTGCGCTGCCTATCAGAAAATGACATTACAGAAGTAGGTCTCTGCAAATGAGTTGGCATTGTGTCAGCCCAGCAGCAGTAGCTAGATAACAGAAACGGATCCTTATTGCCATGGAAATTAGAACAGTATAAATTCAGAATAAAAATTCAATTCAGAAATAATTTAATAATGTAAGATTATTGTGAGCAAGTTTTTTTGTATCATCTTCTTAATAATTATTGCAAGTATTTTGCTGTATTTACTGGTCTGTAATATAATTAGGTGAAATATTCACTAAATTCCAAACACTGAAAAATGTTGCATGATCTCATGCGTTCAATGTTACAGCTTTTTTATTTTTACAGATTAAAAAAATATATTTTTTCATCATTTTCCCTGAGGTGCACTGATAATGTTAATGTTTTTAAAAAGTTGAACCAAAACACCAAACAATTTTTATGGCAAATTTCAACCCTTAGAATTTAGGATCTATTTTTTCCTACTTTGCATGTGAGACTTATGTTACCTTCTCTTTGCCTATTGGTTTAAGAATAATATTACCTGTCCTACTTCCTCCGTAGTATTTTACTGGGACTGGGAAAACCAAATTACTGAATACTAGTGATAAACTGGTATATAAGATTATATTTGGCCACTTGGCCAGTTAAAAAAAAAATGTTTGTCTCCTCACTTTTAGTGTTCCTCTATACAAAGTAAACAATTTCTGTTGTCTGATTTGTTTTCATTTTGAGTAAATATTATGTGAAATAAGTTTTAATTTTACAGTATAATTTACTGTAAACATACAGTAAAAACTGTAATATTGTGAAATATTATTACAATTTAAAATAGCTGATTTCTATACTAATATATTTTAAAATATAATTTATTCCTGTGATGTTAAAGCTGAATTTTCAGTAGCCATTACTCCAGTCATCAGTATCACATGACATGATTCTTCAGAAATCATTCTACTATGTTGATTTGGTGATTATGAACCATTTCTTATTATTATCAATGTTAAATACAGTTGTGCTGCTCAATAATTTTGTAGAAACTGTAATATATATTTTTTTCAGGGTTATATGATATATACAAAGTTCAAAAGAACAGCATTTATTTGAAATTGAAATCTTTTGTATCATTGTGTCTTTTTATTAATTTAGCATCCTTGCTGAATAACAGTATAAATTTCTTTCAAAAGAAATCTTACTGACCCCAAATCTTACTGATGATAGAATAGATTGGCCATTAGCTGTTGACATTTTTAGAGTGTTGTTTTTACTTTAAAGTTTTATTATTTTATGCATTTTTCAATTTCAAGTTTTTGTTTATTATAGTCCTGTGATGTTTATCATATAAATGAGCCTGTTCTTAAAGTAAATAGTTGATTTCACATGACCAAAAGATTTCTCAGTAGTCACGGTCCGTAGACGATTCTCCTTCCACATGCATTATGAACCCTGTGGATGCTGGCATATAATGTAATTTTCTAAAGAAATGTCCATTAAATCAGCATTGTTGCGAATTGGTAGTGCTCTCCCCCTCAGCCATCACACAAGCTCCTGGACACAAAAGACAATGATAAAATCTTTAAAATATCTTATCATTTTTGGCAGGTGAATGCGGATGCCAACAGGCTGAGCCATGCTGGATCGCGGCCTTCCCTGTCCCACGGCGGCCCACAGTATCCTCAGATAGCCATGAACAGCTGCAAGTACAATGGGGGCATAGTCAGACCACTCGGCAGTCTGGGGGCGTCCCGGAGGAACCTAGCAGAGCTGGACTCTGAGACACAGCCTTTGCAGACCCTGCACACTTCCGGCCTGGAGGTGGTGGTCTCCAAAGGGAACGGGGAAGACCCTAGTAAGCAGTCCAGCGAGAACCTTGTGAGGCAAAGACCATGCAGCGCTCCGCATAAGAAGAACAAGGACATTGGCTATAAGCTCGGGCACCGGAGGGTGCTGTTCGAAAAACGCAAGCGCCTTAGCGACTACGCCCTGATTTTTGGAATGTTTGGGATTGTTGTCATGGTGACGGAAACCGAACTCTCCTGGGGAGTTTATACAAAGGTAAAAGTGCACATGTAACCTCAGACACTAATATTTTGAAGTTTTGAATGGCCTCAAAGAGTTTTCTGGACACTTAAATCCCAGTCTACCCAAAAATTAACATTGTGTCATCATTTACTCACCCTCATGTTTTGTCTATACAATGGAAATCAGTGGGAAGCTATGAACGAAACTATTTAGTTACCAAAATTTTTCAAAATGTTTATTTTGTGTTCCATAGTCATACAGGTTTGGAACGACATGTGGGTGAGTAAGTGATGACAGAATTTCCATTTTTGGTGGACTTTCACAATTAAAAATGTCTGAATTTCATTGCAGTAGATGAAAAATATCTAACCAAGTGGCAAGTAACCATTTCCTAACAAATGATGCTAAAGCTTTTTTTCAGTGGCCTTTAACCAGTTGATTCCTAAGCTGGTTTTTGCCAGTCTAAACTGGTTTAAGATGGTCTTCCAGCACAGCCAGCAGAAAATATAAAAATAAAAGCTAACTCAAAGTAGCAATACTATAATCGTATATAAATAATGCTAAAACGACACTCTTTGAAGGTTAATAGGATTAGGATAGGAATAAGACATTCCTAGATTTTTGTTTTAAGTGTCCAGTACTTTTTGAGGCCGCTGTATGTGTACTAGCACGCTTTTGTTTTGGATGTTGGTTGAAAACACATACTTGTAGTTAAGTTCAACCTGCTTCACCAAGAAAACCCACTATCTTGTAAAAAGAGGATGCTTATGCTATCCACAGGCTAGACCAGCACTCAACAACATAAACCAGCCTGAACCACCATTACAATTCATGCTTGTGTAAGATGGTCTTTTTCAACAGGGCAGTGATGCATCACACGATTTCACATATTAAGCTGTGCTAGATTTATACATCTTCATGCTTAGTACTTTGATTTATACCATGTAATTAAATGCTGCAGCATATTGAAGTCCAGGAGTGATCTATTTATGACCGTTTAAAGACACTAAAAGATAAATTCATCATTGACATCAGCTACTTTGTGCATACTTCCTTAATGGATAGAGGCATCAGAAAGCATCAATCAATGAAATCGTCATAGCATGCTCTTGACAATTACATTGTGTATTACAATTACAAGTGTTTGCATTCTTTTATCCCAAGGTACGATGGAATATCTTGAATAGTGAAATAAAATTCCTTCCTTGATTCGCATTGTTCACTAGCTTGTAGGGGTGAAACGGATCGTAGTTGATCATTTGCACGTGTTGCCAATTTAAACATTCAAGCATTTTAAACCATTCAATCGCATGAATAGGCGAAAGAACACAAGCTATTTTTCCCTTCTGAAAAAAATCATAGCCTCAACTAGCTGGTTTAAGTCTAACTCAGGGGTGTTGTAGTCTTGTGGCAACTTCTTAGCAGCAACTTGGCAACATTTTAAAAAATGCTTAAAATTCAGTTTGAAAGTGGGACTGTGTGTGGTTATGATTATAGAACAAGTAATATTAACCACAGACCTTATTTTACTCTTAAATCAAGTACTTGTATTCCAAAAATATTCAAATCCGTAACTTGAAAATGCTAATGCTAATTGCTAAAAACTGAAATTCTCTATATAGGTAGCTTTCATGCATCACAAAAAATTAATCCTACAAAGTTCAAACTCCACAAACTGCTGTATGCTTCATCTAGCACATGTGAGAGACTCAGTACAGTACACTCACACAGCAGCCGTCAAGAAATGGTGTTTGTCTATCTCTTTTAAATATATTTACTCTTGTGGATGACACTTTTATCCAAAGCAACATACAGTGCAGTAAAGGCATATTTTTTTATATGTTTTCTTAGTATGCATGTTCTCTGGGATTCTCATGAGAAAGATTGAGCTGCAAACAGTTAAGCTGCAAGAACATAAAAATGTAAACTAATGTAGTTGTTTTTTTGTTTTGTTTTTTCAATGTCTCTGCAGGAATCCTCATATTCATTTGCACTGAAATGCCTTATTAGCCTCTCTACTGTAATTCTGCTCTGTCTGATCATTATGTACCACGCACGAGAGATTCAGGTAAGTAGCCGAGTTAGCCTTGGAAGCTATAAACATGAGCAGAGATTGAGACGGGAGCCTAAAAGATTACAGAGGAAGCACTTATGCCAATTTCTAATGACTTATAGTAGCAGCAGAATGAAAAGTCACCCTGGCTTTTGTAATTCCTGATATCTGCCTTCAGTGTCTGTGCTTTTTTACCTATCCATTAAGAGGTCTTTATAAAGAAGACACTGATTTTGATTAATGATGGTATTACAAGTGGGGCTTATAGCAAATAGGAGATGTAATTTAATACAGGCCTGTCAGTTGCTTTGTGAGCATTATTTAATGACTTGGAACATCAGATGATGGTCAAATTACTGAATGGATGAACAATTAAGAAACCTTTATTCCTGATTGCAGGTTGTGTACAACACAATCATTGAAATAAAAGAGAAGAAATCCATATTATAGTCATAATACTAAAACCACAGAGAATGCTTTCATATTGTTTATATTGTATATAAGTTTATATTAGACCGTTTATATATATATATATATATATATATATATATACCCATGCAGATGTACTTCAAGCAGGTAAATTTATCTTGTTTTTAAAATGTTTAGAAATTAATTTGATGTAATATGTGTATATTATAGTTATTTAATTTTATATATATTGTATGTAACATCTAATATCAATTCTCATCCAGTTCTTTAAGGTTAATTAAAGATGTTTACATTTTTTAATGAAAAAGATCACAATTCTGCTGCAGCACCCATTAATGCCTTCAAATTTGTTGTCTGTCTAAATTTTAGCTCTTCATGGTTGACAATGGAGCAGATGACTGGCGGATAGCCATGACGTACGAGCGTATCTTCTTCATCGTTTTGGAGCTGCTGGTGTGTGCCATCCACCCCATTCCAGGTCAGTACGTCTTCACCTGGACCGCCCGCCTGGCCTTCACCTACACCCCGTCTGTGGCGGATGCAGACGTGGACATCATCCTCTCCATTCCCATGTTCCTGCGGCTGTATCTGATTGGCCGGGTCATGCTCCTGCACAGTAAGCTCTTTACGGACGCCTCATCACGCAGTATCGGAGCCCTCAATAAGATCAACTTTAACACACGCTTTGTCATGAAGACTTTGATGACTATCTGCCCAGGCACGGTCCTGCTAGTTTTCAGCATATCATCATGGATCATTGCTGCCTGGACTGTGCATGTCTGTGAGAGGTGAGATAAACCTTTGATTTCTGAAGAAACACTGTTTGTACCTGGAGTAGTAAAGGAATATTCCACCTAAAAATGAACTCAACCCTCATGTTGATCTAACTTTCTTCCTTCTACACTGTAAAAAAGATTTTGGAAACACTTTACAGTAAGGTTCCATTTGTAAACAGTAGTTAACTACACTAGTTAACATTAACTAACAATGAAAAATACTTCTAAAGCATTTATTAATCTTAGTTAATGTTGATTCCAACATTTGCTAATACATTATTAAAATCAAAAGTTGGATCTATTAATACATCACGCAGGGAGCCCTCAATAAGATCAACTTTAACACACGCTTTGTCATGAAGACTTTGATGACTATCTGCCCAGGCACGGTCCTGCTAGTTTTCAGCATATCATCATGGATCATTGCTGCCTGGACTGTGCATGTCTGTGAGAGGTGAGATAAACCTTTGATTTCTTAAGAAACACTGTTTGTACTTGGAGTATTTAAAGAATATTCCATCCAAAAATGAACTCACCCCTCATTTTGATCCAAAACCTTCTTTAAAGATAACTTTCTATAAAAATTTAAGTTTAAAGATTATTGGAGTAGTTTTTTACAAGTAAAATACTGTATCAGTCTTTTTACTTTAAAATTTCATATTTAATTTAGTGTTACTTGCCATTTCTTTGTAAGTAATTGTGAAATTTACTAGCAATTTCTAAGTCAAAATTGTTCTAAAATGAGTAATTTTTTTCAGCGTATGGAACACAAAATGTGAACTTCTGATGACAAATCTCTGAAAATATCTCTTTTCCATATATGTAAGTGAATGAGGCTGTCAAGCTCTAAAATGACAAAACAAGCACCATAAAAGTAGTACATTTCATTCATGCAACCATGTCTTGTGAAGTCATTCAATAATTTGTGTGGTGAACCGATCAAAATTATAACCTAGAGCCATAAAGCTGACATTCTGTTTTTGTCGCCTGTACAGCTTTTATAGTCCATTTCAGAGTTTATTAGAAGTAGGGGAACAATGTCTTACATTTCAGTCTGTTCCTCACTCAAAGCTATTATATGGTTTCAGAAGTATTGGAATATTCCACATATATGGACTACTTATATCATACTTTTATGGTGCTTTCTTGTCATTTTAAAGCTTGACAGACCAAGTTCCTAAAAAAAAAAAAAAAAGAAAGATTTCTCGGTCACACTTTATTTTAAGGTCCAGTTCTCACTATTAACAAACCATTAACTCTGACTTTTGCCTCAATAATCTTCTAATTTGCTGCTTATTAATAGTTAGTAAAGTTAGTTGTTAAGTTTAGGTATTGGGTAGGATTAGGGATGTAGAATATGGTCGTGAAGAATATGTGTTTTATAAGTACTAATAAACAGCCAATATGTTAATAATAGGCATGCTAATAAGTAACTAGTTAATAGTGAGAATTGGTCCCTAAACTAAAGTGTTACATATTTTAAATTTTTGAGTGAATGATTCCTTTATTTATGTAATTCTTTCCATCCAACGAAGTTGGTCAAGACCCTATGTTGTTACCTTTAAAATGTGACATCAGTGGCATGCGGATGTGTGTGTGTTTCATTGTTTATGGTTTTGTTCTATGTTTCTCCCACATGGCTGCTGCTGGATAGGGGTCCAAAGTGAGTCTGTGATCTGCAAGGAAAAACTATCACTTGGCTCTTAGCTTCTGCTCATCTCTCTTGAGCTATACTTGCAAAAAGGCAAATTGCTGGCATCCTGGAAATCCCAAATTCTTTTTATTTTCAAATTCAGATCCATTTGTTTTCTCCAATAAATGGTCTGTCATCTTATTATAGCCTCTGATAAAGAGTGGCCTTAGTGTTGGGTAATTACATTTTTTGAGTCATTCTTTGGATTTTGGGATTTTCACGCAGCTGACACCATGTGTCAACATGGTGGTCATCATGTTCATGGCAGCCTGTTCTTTTCCTAAAGCGCTGTCAAATATTTGACCTTTTCTGGTGCTCTAAAGTGCTATTCTTACCAAGATGCCACCTTAACCTAGACCTCTGGGGAGAATAAAGATCCAGTATGTTGTCATGACCCATAAACATAGAGAGAGCAGCACAGCTATGCTAATCAGCTCATCCTGAGCCCTTTAGCCAGGTTTTGCTCCCACTTCTTACCCATTAGACTATACAGTATGTGCCACATCATCCACCTGCTTTTTCTTCAATGCACTGCACCACAACAATAGTCCATAGTGTATATATGTGTTTTCTTCAACTATGACCACTTTTGACCCGGACTTCTAGAATATAGTCAAATTTTTCACATCTCTATTAGTTTATTTAATTTGTTTACTGAGAAAGTTTACAGCTGACATAAATGAATCACATGAGAATTGCTAGCATTCTGTTCATTCCATTCTTAGCATTCTGATGTTATATTTATTGATTGATAAAGATATTTATCTGAACTTTTTCCCCACACAAAATTACAGCATTGTTGTATTGATAGTGATAGAGATTCTTTGTTTTCCATGGTAACTTAGTACACTAAGGTAAGTCTTTACAGTTGGTCATGAAGCAACTGATGCCACAACTGAGGACTGGCATATTTTTACATTAAATAAAATGATAAATACAAAAATGATAGAAACTGTTAAAAGTTATTGAAATGCAAAAACATTGTTTGATTAATATAGATTTTAAAATATAATATTTTATGATGCTTTTTCATATTTTATGACTGAAAATAATTATTTAAATGATTTAATCTAACAAAATTAATTAGTTGATTTAGTTTTTAACCTGATCTGAAGTACAAGAATCAGTCTTTTAAGTATCTTTTTCAGACTTTCATTTCTTCCACACAATATTGGTTGTGTTCTTAGTGATATTTTTCTTTGTTTTACATGGTAATAGCTTAGTACACTAAGATAATACTTCATCAGTTGGTCAAGATGCAAATAATGGCACAACTGTAGACTGGCATATTTTTACATGAATTAAATAAAAGTATAAAAATGTAAGTTAAATCTAGATCTTGAACAAGGATAAAATAAGAATAAACTTAGAATGAGAATAAACTAAATTTGGCTAGTGTAGGAGTGTGGTGTATATTTAAAACAATAAAAACTTTTGTTTTTCAGATAAATTTATCTTGTTTTAAGCATGCCTATATATTATTACTGGAAAGACATTTCGATTTAGAAAATTGATTTTTTTGCAGTGTGGTTGAGAAAAAGTGCTTAGGACACCAACTAAGCTAATGTGCTAGTCAGGTGTCACGCTAGCTTGTTATTTTTCTGTATTCTCATGTCTTGTGTAAGAGTTACAGTGGATGAATCTGTCGGAGGAACGGAGAGGTGCTTTATCAGCACCTTTGGAACCCTCCCGAGACTCTGTATTTCCATTCGCTTCACCCCTAAATGGCCACAGCTACTTCTTCACTTTAAATCATTTGTCGGCAGGCTAGTCGACAAGCCTCGTTTAATAGCACTCAAGCTAATGAGTCCTCAGTTAAATTCATGGGCATAGAAGCTGGACGCTCACTGATTGAATAATTTGAACATAAATGTAGATTTACTCCGTAGTCAGCGCATGGACATATTGTTCATGCTGACGGAACATGAATTTGAGGCCAAGAGAAGACCTTGTTCTGAAACTTGGACATCATCATCATCATTTTTTAATTGTTTTATTCTTCATATTTGGTGTTTGGGGAGAATGTTTCTGAAACTGAGTGGACTATTTTGTTATGAATGTTTTTTTTTTCCGGAAAGAATCGACATAGATGGTATGCTGTTCCCTTTACAGAAATTTGCCATGGTAACCTCCAAAAGCTTTCAGAATGTTTCTGCCATTTTATTTATATATTTTTACAATAATGCCAGCAAATACCAAGTCACCACAGATTTATTCTAGTAGCACTTACTTTTAGTAACTGGCAGTTACCGTGATAATTTTCTGTAAGGGACAAATCTATGTTTAAGATTCTGTGATATGTACAAATGAAGCTCTCAAACAAGTGTTCTCTGATTTGAGATCATGCGAAAGTGCCTTGGTTGAAATCAGTTGGTTGAATGTGTGCCCCATACTGTCAGAGCTGTGCATTATCTGAGTTCATGGCAGCTTTGGATTTGGTTACACTGCCAGCATGTTTTATGCTTGTGTAATGGACTGTGACTGTCACAATAGTTTTACACAGACGCATTCTCCACACCAGACCGAGCTAGAACACTGGGGAACAAGAGCAAGCCATCTAATGGGCCTTGGCTGCCCTCTGGTTTATACGAGCAGAATATGGACAGCACACCTTTGAAATTCTGTGCACAAAGGCAACTTGATTTATATTTGGGCTGTCCACTTTTTTATCTAGTATGGTCAGGCCTGAATATTGATATATGCTGCTGCATTCAATATTTACTGATATTGCACTTTAGGTTGCCTTTAAGATTACCCTTCAAATGTAATTTGGCTTCTCAAAGACCCCTAATGCAAAGTGTACCTGTATATTTCAGCTGTGCACCAGTGTCAATGTGCAGTGCTGCTTAAATTTCGAAGAGACTGTTTGTATATAGCTTTTGTAACTACCGGTATATAATTTACGTAGTATGGGACAAATCAATGAAAATCTATGAAAATATGGGTTGGAAAACCTGGACTCAAGTACGAGAGTAACTCTTTAAGTATTTTTTTTTCCAGGTTAATTTTGTTGTTATTCAAATGTGTTTAAATTATTAAAAGAATCTAATGAATTAATTTAGATTTTAACCTAAACTGAGATACAAGATTAACTTGTAATTTTTTCATTTCATTTTGTTTGTCATGTCAATGTAAGTTTTATTATATCTAATGTTATATTTATTAATTTATTTTAAAATTGTTGAAATGATATAAATAATCTAAATCATTAATTAATTTACATTTTAACCTGAACTGAGGTACTAGAATCACTCTTAAGTGTCTTATTCCAGTTAATTTTCATTCTTAACATAAATGTAGACAGTATTATATGTATTCATTTATTTAAATTTATTTAAATAATCAACATAATAAATACATTTAGATTTTAACCTGAACTAATGTACAAGAATCAATTCAAGTATTTTTCTTTAGTTAATTTTGTTTGTCAACATAAATATAGCTAGTATTATATTTCTTAATTTATTTAACTTATTTGAATAATCTAAATTAAATGAATTAATTTAGATTTTAACCTGAATCTAAAATAATCTCTTTTTTTCATAGTTGACATGAATTACATTTATTAAAATGTGTACTTTTTTGTTTTATTTATTTATATTTTACAAACTCGTACTGGGGTCACCTTTAAACACTTTTTCTTTTTTGAGAATGATCCTGTGAGATGTTGATTAGTCACTCTATGAAATTAATCCCAGCATGTTTTCTTGTCATTTTATCTCATCAGATATCATGATAAAGTGGAAGTCACCAGTAACTTCTTGGGAGCCATGTGGCTGATCTCCATAACCTTCCTGTCTATTGGTTATGGAGACATGGTGCCTAACACATACTGTGGGAAGGGAGTGTGTCTCCTTACTGGAATCATGGTGTGTCTCTCTTTTACCCTTCTAATTATGTACAAATGATGTACACGTCTTACATTTGAGACATTCATGTTCTTGTGAGTTTATCTGCATATATTTTACAGTTATTAGTGTCCACTCAGCCTTAACATCATCAGGCCATAAAGCCATTATGTAGAGGAACTGTGTATAAAAATTCTATTTTTGAGACATTTACACCCTTGAGTGAGTTTATCTGCATATTTTTTATAGCAATTAATACCCACTCAACGCCATCAAACTGTGAAGCCATTTTATAGGAACTGTATATAAAAAGCTTTCTTAATGATTTAGTTTGATTTGTGTTGTGTGTTTGTGTGTGTTTTCAGGGGGCCGGTTGCACTGCCCTAGTGGTGGCTGTCGTAGCCAGGAAGCTAGAGCTCACCAAGGCTGAAAAGCACGTCCATAACTTTATGATGGACACTCAACTCTGCAAAAGAGTGAGCATATTTTAATATACAGAATTGTAGCTAAGTGAAATCCAAGCAAGTATAAAATAAGTGTTAAACGGAGCATTCAAACTCACTTTGGCAAAAAAGCACTTTTTGCCAAATGTTGATGCTGCATAAGCCGTGGAAGCTAGCCAACATTCCCTTGATGAGATCATCTTCTAGACAAAATCTGGCAGGCATATCTCACCCATATTGCTAATTCACCAGAACCAGAGTCTACAACTAGTAGCATTTAATGCTGTAGTATTACTTTGAATATTTTTATGGCGTAGTAAGTTTCCAAACATACTGTATGTCATTTTGTCTACACTAGCTGTAGTGATGTTTTAAAATGAATATTTAATGTAAGTTTCTTATCTGGATTTCATTTACTCACAGGTGAAAAACACTGCTGCTAATGTACTCAGGGAAACATGGCTAATCTACAAACACACAAAACTTGTGAAAAAGATTGACCATGCCAAGGTCCGGAAACATCAGCGCAAGTTTCTGCAGGCCATTCACCAGTACGTATATTTACAACATTTGTAATCTTCCTTTTGCTATGTGTGCTGTCTGCATTTGTGTTTTATATGAGATGAGATATAAATCTAAATTTTATGGTGCTTAAAACTGGATTTAGTTCAAGTTCTCACTTTCCAATTTAGGGAATCTACTCGCATGAAGTTTTTTTTATATGGAGTTTTGGAAACGGAATTGAACCTTTTAGACTCTATCTCAACCTCATATTTCCTTCCTAATTTATTGCCACAGCATTTTAAGATCTTGGGAGTTTTACCTGTTAGATCATGGGGTGAAATCCTGATGCTGATGATGCCAAAAATAAAAGAAGTTAGGGATAGTACAGAGTTAGTATATCGGACAAGCAGCATAAATTTTGTGCATAAATGACCAAATGCACTTATTGGTTAAAAATTGCTGTCTTGGTGAGATGTTAATGTAAACTCAGTAGGATTGTCTTAAGTAAATGTAAAAAAAAAAAAAAAAAAGAAGATTTTTCTCACAATATCAGACCAGTGCATTGGAACTTAAAGTGTAAATGCATGCCACTGCCTATTATCATGTTAATATTGATCAAACAATAATATTGGCAAAAAAGAAGAGAGAACCCACTTACTGCTGTTAATTATTTATTTGTTCTTTATTGCTGACTGTCTATTTGTTTACTTAATTTTACTTAATACTTGAAGGCTACATACTGTACCATTGCTTTGATTTAATATGTTTATATTTATATTAATATTTCTCTTTTTAAATAAAAGAGTGTGTTTCATAGCATATTAGTTTTTGCTTTGAAACTTTTATGGAGCATAATAAAATATCATTGGTATTGTAACATGCTTAGTGTAGACAGTAACCTGGATACATGAGAGAGAAAATATTTTAATATATATTATTCAATATTTACGGAAATATTATGAAAAATTGAAGTGACATCAAAATGTTGCTAAATGGCCTGTTGATGCAAATCAAATGACAGATTTTTTTTCAGTCAGTCTTAAAAGTTTGAAAGTCATTTGGTGTGGTGTGCAATTTGAGGTTTTTAAAAAAATGTATTCTGTGTTCCATTTGTTTTGCCTTAAATCACTGCAGAGCTCAGAAGTAAGTCATGTCTTCTCTTTTTTTCTTTACCATTGGAACCCTTATTCATTTTTATAAGTCTTACTCAGCAATATCAACCAACATGATGAACATTGAAAACATTTGAAGCTGGGCTCCATTTTTATTTAGCATTGATATCCATTACGGTATTTAGATGAATTGCATTTACATAGTTCACCGACCTGTTAAGGTATTTGGAGGGAAAGGTTCTTCTCAGCTTCAAATTTATCAGATGCCACAATGTCCGAAATTCATTCATCTAGCCTGTACCAGATTTCCACAGAACCTCACACTGCACTTTCATCCTTTTAGTCATAAAACCTGCTAATCTGCTGGTCTGCAGTGTTTTCTCGCAAACACAAATCTGTTGCAAATCATTCTTATGGAGATGCACTTAGAGAAATATCGAATGTGAATGTTATAAGACTGCATTAGAAGTTTAGACACAAGCATTTGGTACTCGTTCCCTTTCACTTGGTTGGTCGCTTTTAAAAGGGAAGGTTCACCCAAAAATTTTGAATTCTGTCATTTCTTACCATCTTGTTGTTCCAAATACATATGACATCCTTTCTTATGTGCAACTTTTTTTTTTTTTAAACTTGAGAGTTCATGAGAAAAATACCAATGTCTGATTTGTTGAATTGAATTGAATGATCTGACTGATAATTTAAATAAATTGCAATTAATACATATCATATTAAATATAATACTAGCTACATTTATGTTGCTAAAACAAAATGAACTGGAAAAAAATACTTAAAGAATTGATTCTTGTACCTCAGTTCAGGTTAAAATCTAAATTAATGAATGATATATTATTCAAATAAATTTGAATCATTTATTATTAATGAATGAATATAATAGTAATTACACATGTAATACTAAATATCTACATTTATCTTCATAAACCAAAGAATACTTTTGTAGTGTTTATTATACCTCAGTTTAGGTTAAAATCTAAATTAATTTAATACGATTATTTAAATTATTTAAATAAATTAATAATTACAGTAGTAGCTGATGCATTATTTCTCTTTTTGTGTTCCACAGAAAAAAAGTAAGTCATGCAGGTTTGGAACGACATAAGGTTGATTAAATGATGAACAGAATTTTTTTTCATTTTTAGCTGAACTAATCCTTTAAGTGCAGTAAGATTTTCTGGCCGTGTTCTAGGTTCTCTGATGTGAATCGCCAGTCCTGCCTCTGTTTGGCACGCAATCAAAGTGAAAGCGCAACTGCTGAGCACAACAATTCATTTATAATGTATTTGGCCTTCACTTTTACGAGACCACATAAACATTCCCTTGCCTAATGCGTACAATCATACAATTCTATAAATATCTGCACATGAAATGCTTCATAAACTCAGCAAATCGGCCTGTGTTGTGGAGAAGGTAGCAGTTGCATCTGGAGTGCAGGGAACTATGGAGGTCTGGGTACAGAAACAAACAGACCAATTTTGGCCGTCCCAAAATTGAGAGTTCATCTTTACAACAGTGCAAGCACATGTGAAAAAGTGCAAAGTGTCCACTTTTTATTTTCCATAATGCTTGCACACTTGAGTTTTTCCACACTTGTTTTTCGTTTTTTGATGGGAGGGGGAGAGTTTGAAGCAAATAGATGGTTGGGGTTGGTTTAGGTTGCTTGGTTAACTCTGGAGAAGGCATTTATAATATTTTTTAATAAGACACGAAAAGCCATCATGTTATGTTTATATTCTGCATGTGAGTATCATTGACAAGCATTTTTCTCAAGAAATTGTTCTAAGTTTCGATAAAAAACGTTCTTGTTCTACACTTACGAAAATCTCCCCTTTCCTTTCTGGGTTTTGTTCGTGCTTTCCTAGAGGAAAGCCCAGTTATGTGTATCTAGAGAGTTTCTGGTGTTAGCTTTCTGAATTCAATAGGCACTGAAATTAGGTTAATGCTAATGCATCATTGTTAGCATATCTGTCATTACCATGGAGCACAAACCGTGTGTCCACATTCTGTGTCTTTATCAGTTCATCTGTTTCCATATTACACCGGCTCCAGTCTGACACAATATAATGAATGTTTTCTACTACATCCTATTGAGTTTGAATGTCTGCCGTCACACTGCTGACAAAGGTGGTGTTTGGGTTGTATTTTCGCACATTTTGCACCATTCATGTTGCAACAGAGCTGCTTAGTCATGACGTCAATTTGTAGGCCTGTCAGTCAGCCGAAAAACTAGAATAGGATTTTAACATTTTTAGTTTATGGTCTATGATTTACATTTAAATTGAAGTCTGTGATTAACATAAGCTTACTTGACTTTCAGGTTTTGTTTGAAAATATAAATTCAAACATGAATTCTGACCACAAGTATGTGAGTTTATTTAAATATTATTACTATTATTATTGAAAATATTATATATAGTACATATACTGAATCAAGATTTTAACCTAATAAATTATACTATATGTGTGTGTGTAGTGTATAGAAATATGTTAAAACAAATTTATGTATATTAAAAATGTATAAAGTAACATTTTTCTACAAAATCTCAATAGAACAAAATTAAAATTCAACAAAAGTTTCAATCTCTAACTAAAACCTTTTGACTTTATAGCAACTTTTTAAAAATCATTTTTAACAGCTTTTATTACTTCATAATGTCTTACTGCATTTCATTACTGTCCATTACATTTTGTTGAGAGTTTCTATATGCATCAGATCACCATCTAAAAAAATCTGCAGCACATTTTCTTGACTTTGAGGTAGTATTATAAAATCCATATCCATATGCTTATGGAGTTTTGGGACAATGGCTCAACTGTTTTTCGATCCCTTCTTTTTTTTATTTGACTTCCTGTGGCTGAATAAGTTTGCATGTCTGACTGGACCGAACTGGAATGTAAATGTTTGCATGTGGGCGCATCATTTAATGGAAGAACATTCATTATGTGACACTTTATACCTTCTAGATTTCAGCCTAATTATCAAACTCTGTTTCTTCCTCTTTTCCCTGCCCATCACAACCTCCTGCACTTGCTTTTGCACTCCTTCCTCTATAAACTCCTGTCTCCCTTGTATATCTGTGTGTCTTCTTTCCTTGTGGCCCATCTTTTTCTCTTTGTCTGTCCACCTGCTCCCTGGCTTCATTTTTTTCCCAGACTGCGAAGTGTGAAGATGGAGCAAAGGAAGCTGAATGATCAAGCAAACACACTGGTGGACTTAGCAAAGGTGTGTACAGTCTTTAGTAGTAGATCTGTAGTGACATGTTGGTAGTTTTGTAGTATGGTCATGTACTGTATGTTTATTCTATGGAATGGATAGATTTATTAAGCAGCACAACTGTTTTCAACAATGATAATAATAACACATAGTTCTTGAGCAGCAAATCAGCATATTAGAATGATTTCTGAAGGATCATGTGGCACTGAAAACAGGAGTAATGATGCTGAAAATTCAGCTTTGCATCACCGGAATAAATTACATTTTCAAATGTATTCAAATAGAAAACTGTTAGTTTAAATTGTATTAATGTTTCACAAGATCAAATAAATGCAGAAAAACTTTCAAAACATTCAAACATCTTATCAACCCCAAACTTTTGCACGGTAGTCTTATGTGTGCTCATATGTGAAAACTGCGCACTTAGGGTAAATTCAGGTAAACTGGACCACATTACCTGAATGAACCTCTAAAATAGTATGTGAAATAGTATACAGTATGCAGCATGACCTGCATCCTTCATATTATTTGGCAAGTGACGTCTGTGCCTGAATAAACAATGGGAATTTTATTTAAATTTGTTATTTGACAACGTATTTGTGTAAATATGTCTTTTTAATTTTTAATATTATGTTTGACATTTTTTTAAATATTTATTTAATGTTTTTCAATATTTTATATATTTTATCTTAATGTTTTCATTTTTTGTAGTCAGAAAATGTGCTTATTTTCCATGTCAGTAGACAACACAGGGTATTTGTATGTGATTCTTGCATTTTTATGTCTAAGTGTGTTTATCACTTCTTCAGACACAGAATGTGATGTACGACCTGGTCTCAGAGCTGCAGGAGCGCAGTGAGGAGCTGGAAAAGCGGATCGGTCACCTAGAGGCAAAACTGGACTCCATAAACAACAGTCTGCAGGCTCTGCCTGGCCTGCTCTCACAAGCCATACAGCAGCAACAGCACCACCTGCTGGACGGGCTGACCCAGCGCGGATTCACTTTCACGCGCCCCTCCTCGCAGACCTCTGAACGCTCCTGGGCGTCATCCGTGCACCGGCGGAGATCTCCCTCTACCGCACCACACACGTCCTCCGATAGTGGCTAGCACGCTCTCACACACTCAAAACCATACTCTAAACCTACACACACACTCCTACACACCTCTATCACCCACTTACACTGCTAAATATACTTTTAGTACTAAAACCTTAACAAGAATGACAGCTTCAACACACTGGAATAAACATGTAATGAATAAACACATCATGGTAGAGATATGGTTTATGTTTAGCCATTGTATGGCTGTTTAAAGTTAGCTTTTTTGTAAAGCCCTGGTATAGTATGGACTGGATTCAGACTGCAGGGGGTGAAATGGATTTATATAGAGAGATATAGTTTGGAAATAGAGAATTAAATGGAGCTAACCTCATGGGAATACAGAGGACTGAGAAGGAAGGAAAAATGGGAGAGGAAGTCACCAGATAGGCAGTGATTACAGATATGTTCTGAATAGCATACTAGCATGCTACTTACTCTTACTGCAGTATATATTTGTATACAGTGTACAGTATGCAAATGTTCTGTATGCATTAAAATTCCCTACGGCATTTGCCAGAGAACACTGCGTTGAATACTGTATCTCACAATGCAATGCGTTCGAGTTTTCTTTTTCAGCGTTAGTAGTTTTAAGTATAAAACATTTTGACATTAAAACAAGACAATTTTTACCCAAAATTCAGTTAACTCTCATGTTGTCCTTGGTCATTTCAGACAAAAAAAAAAGTGTATGTTTTGAAATGTTTTAATTTTTTACTTCATCGGAATGAAAAAAAAAACGTACTAAATGAAGAAATAATTGTGGACACGATTAGAAAAAACGTCAAATGAAAAGTCACACTTACGATCTTCGCCAAAGAAAATGAATGGGAAATGCAAAAAATATGAAAATACAGAGATTTTTTTGGGAGGAGGATACAATCTACAAATCATCATTGGATTTTAAATGCCATTAAACACTTTATTAATTTGAAATAATATGAAATATTCTTCCTAATAATTGTATTACTTTAAATAGAAATAAATGAATAATTTAGAGGTGAATATTGTTTGAAATCCCCTCAAAATGCAAAATATTAAGGAACTAAATATACAACCCCTAGTAAAAAAGTTATACATTTAAAATACATTTATTTCATACTAAGTATAGTTCAAATCTATTAACATATTTCCTGACATATTGCTTGAGACTTACCTACTGATAGAAAAATTATAGAGTACTACTTGTGCACAATGTACATTTCTTAATATTAAACCTAAAATGTTTTAATGTCACTATTGATGAGGATCGTATGATCTTTGAATAATATTGGTCTTTAAATGCAAGATATTTAAAGTGTATCTGAAGTATACTTGCAATAGTTCCACTTTAGCACAATCAAATATACTTCAGTATATCTTTAGATGGGCTTCAGCACTACTTCCGCACAATTAAAGTGCATCAAGTACAAAACTAGTTGTTACAGTTTAGCAGACTTTAAGTATACCAAAAGTACAATTGCAGGGTATTTTTGTAAAGTACATAAATATGTAAATGTATTTGTAGTATACTTAGCATGAAATAAATGTATTTCAAATTCATTTTAGTATATTTATTTTTCAGTAGGGATGTTATAAGATCATGTGACAACAACTACACATTTGTTGAATATTGCAAATTCAATGGAAGAAGAAGTTCTGTATACAGTATATACTGCACAGTATTAAGTACTACGCTGGTATTTAAACCCATTAAATAGAATTGTTGTTGAATTGTCCATCTCATAGAAGCTGAGGAAGGGCCTTTGGAAGTCCCATGTTCAGATTGATTAATCATTACTAGATTTTAAAAAAAATGCAACCAGATTATTAGGAAATGCCTAAAAACAAGCAAGAAAAATTAAATTTGTTTGTCAAATGAATATTTTGCAGACTAAAAAATTTTTGCTATCAGCTGATAAATGTTTCCATGAGTCACAACACATTTTCTTTATATTACACTGACGACATTCAAGGTCTTATAGAATAATATAGGCATAAACAATATTCAAGCACACTTTTTCCAACAAGTGTTAAAGACCAAATAAGGTTCCGGCAGAGCTTCCAAAGGTCCTTAAAGCATCTTTAGCTCAGGCAATCTCTAAGACAGCCTGGGAACGTGATGGGAAGGAAATACTGTACACCCCCTTGCATGTTTCAATGCAAATTATGATGGAGCTGACCTAAAGGATGGTTTTCTCTTAAATTTTCCTTTCTTTTCTCTTCTCATTTTTTTACAGAGGTTCCTTTTTTATTATTTACCTAGATTTTTATAGCTTGTAGAGGATATACAAAATGTTACAGCAGAGCGGCAGCATAGTTGAAAACATGCATTCCTTGATCAAAGACTTAAAAAAAATTCACCTAAACAAAACAACAGGAGATGAATCCCACACTTGGATATCATTACCACTTACATGAAGTAACCAATTTGGTTCCCAGTTCTAGGTTTAGAACGAAAGCATCAAGATGTGATTGTCATTACGGGTTTGAAAAACAGCAAACTGCCTTTACTGTGTGTCTTTGGCCTTGTTGACCAAGCTGTAGCGGATTTACATAATGCTGGGCTCCAATATAAAGAAATAAATGAACAATTCCACTACCTGGTCACATTGCATTTTTATATATCTTGTCTTTGTTTGACATGTTGTCTTTACATAGCTGCTTTTGATTCTCCATTGGTTCAAATCCACTAACCTTTAACTTGGTCCATATTAAGACAACAACAGTAGTAATGACGCAGAATGTGGCGCACAATCTAAGAATAACAGTTCCTGTATTACTCCCAGTTAACCATGCATAGAACATTTGTGCTGAAGAAAATGGACAGTATTTTTAGGCCACTCTGAACAAGGCACTTTATAACCTGTAACACAAGTGCATTTATTTCTTTCATTGCTCAGCCATCCATCTATTCTTCTGGAACTCCTCTGCGTTTGTGCGTTCACTCACTATTTCGTGGATTGGCGGAAGAAAATGAAAGGAATAGTTCACCCAAAAATCTAAATGTACTGAAAACGTACTCACCCTCAGGCCATCCGAGATGTAGATGAGTTTGTTTCTTCATCGGGACAGATTTGGAGAAATTGAGCATTATATCACTTGCTCACCAATGGATCCTCTGCATTGAATGGGTGCCGTCAGAATGAGAGTCCAAACAGCTGATAAAAACATCACAATAATACACAAGTAATCCACACGTCTCCAGTCCATCAATTAAAGTCTTTATAATTGAACAGCTGGGTGTTTGTAATAAACAAATCCATCATGGTGTTTTAACTTCAAATGAATGCTTCTGGGCAAAACTCCATAATAACCATAATAATGATTCAGGAGAGACTTTTGACTTTTTCACTGAAGAAAGCAATGTTATGGAAAGAGGACTCGTATTTTAGCCAGAAGCTAAAATTTTAGATTTTAGTGATGGATTCGTTTATTACAAACACAGCTTTTCGCTTCACAAGACGTTGTGATATGTGATGATGTGATGTTTTTATCAGCTGTTTGGACTCTTATTCTGACGGCACCCATTCACTGCAGAGGATCCATTGGTGAGTAGGTGATGTAGGCCTAATGATAAATTTCTTCAAATCTGTTCCAATGAAGAAATGAACTCATCTACATTTTGGATGGCCTGACAGATAATGTAGACCTTCATTACGTTACGCAAAATACAGCGAAATAACATTGCAGTAATGACCCGCTAACTGTAGCCTACATTAGGCTATCTCTTACATATGCAGTTGTGAAAGTTGATGTATTCGGTCAGTTCAAAGCAGTGGGTGCTGTGATCTGGACAAACATGTCTCATCTCACCCTCATTGAAATTCTTTCTTGTATTATGCCTTGTTTTAGTAATTGACTTCAGCGCTACAAAGCGCTTCAGTGACACGCACGGTATGCATAAACATGTGATCAAAATACAGTTAAATGCACATTAATAGCTATTCAGAATGAAGATCACTTTCTCAAATGATTGTACAATCACGCAGGCTCTGCCTAGTGGCATAATACTATGAGTAGGCCTACACTAAGAAATTACAGATAAATCTTAAAAGAAGAAGAAGAAGATGGAACTTCCGAAATGATTGCCTGTTGATGTAATTTATTTATTGTATCCAAAAATTGCTCAAACACTGAAAGTTTCAATATTTTTCTCCCTGCCTCTTTTTCCTTTCATTTAAATGACCTATTTTTTTCCCTCCCAAAAACATAGGAAGGACTATGGGGTAAAATGAACTACAAGGTAAGTTGACACTTTGTTTCTAGGCAGCTAAAATAAACCATGTGACGGCATTCTCATGCAGAGACAATAATTTTTATATTTAGAGAAGGGTTGCATGTGGTGAGTGTGGCTATTGTATCCAAAAATGGGTTTCTTCCCTTTCCACATGAGTTTCAATCATGTCATGAGTTTGGATGATTTGGATCAAACTGATGAAGCACTTTTAGACACATTACAGTTTAGTTAGTTTAGTTTGTTGGTTGAACCCCAACTTCCTCCATCTGTTCACACATTCTGTAAAAAAAAAAAAAAAAACTTTCTCAGTCAGAAAGCTGGTTTACACCAAAATTTTTCTGCCACAAAGTTGTTTTACCACAAAAGTGCTCTGGTGTGGGGAAATTCCATTTTCATTAATATATATTAAAAAAAACAAACAAAAAAAAGCACTTTCTGCATTTCCCCATCCATGTCTCCACTCAACATTCCTCCCAGGTCCACTATTTTTGCCCTGAGTATTTATTAATATTTAAGAACCAAAACAAATAAACCTGGCACATTTTGAGTGGTTGTAGGCTAAGTGCTTTTTGTCCATAAAGGGTAACACAAACAGATCTACAAAAAAGAATGTTAAGAGTTATATGAGAACAAAGAATCGGGTGTATGATTTTTTATTATATTCTTGCCTAATTTTTATTCTTTCACAGATATAAAAGTTAGTGCAGTTAGAACTGTGGCCGGATATATAAACTATTTAGACTAGTCTTAAAAAATTTGTCATTCTACGCAGGACGGCTCTATTTGACAGCGCTATGCAAATATTGCCTCTTTAAAAATGTACGAACTAAGGCTATTTAGCATTTTGCAACCTGCTTATCTCTCAACACTAAAACACCAAGAACTTTATTTGTTATAACCTGATTATTGACAATTAAATTAGCAAATGGCGTCGAACAGTGTGGAAATAAAGAGCTAAATTAGTTAATCCTGAGTGAGAGATTGAATTTGAAGATTATGTCACTTCTTGTCGGGTGATGTCATCAAGGAATCGCAAACAACAAAAAACTATTGAAATAAATAAATAAATAATCTGGAATATTTCTTAATAAATTAAATGGCTGTTTTTTTTTTTCAAATGACCATTATACTATGTGACCATGTGATAAAATTGACACCTGTTGGAACCAACGTAGTGAAATGATCTAAAATCCATCCTTTGTTCACCTAATTGTGATAATATAAACCTAACTAATATAATTTCGATAAAATTAAACATTTGTGAATTTAATATTTTATCCGATATAATAAGATGGAGTCGCACTCTAAAACAGGGATGGGCAACTTTGATAAGTGACGAGGGCCAGCATTTTTTCTCCTTTATACCAAGGGGCCAGATTACTAATCCACGTCCACACACCTTTTTATTGAAGGAAATTCAAGTATAACTAATGTCATTTGTTTTTAAAGATTTTATTGCAGTTATGCTAATTCAGAAGGAAAACTTTGTTGTCAGTGGACAGAAATATTACCCCGACAAGCCAATGTAAACATTTCAATTGCATTGTCTGTAAATTTGCAACAAACAAATATACAGAGGTCCTTTTTTATCAGTAGCCTACAGAACATTCTCAAAGCAACCTAAAAGGACAGTTAAACAGGGCTTAATTTAAAAAAAAAAAGTTATTCCAAATGGTACCATAAAATAACCTGGTATCTGCAGGATTTTTAAAATCAAATTTAAGACCTTTAAAGACCTTTTTAAGATCTGCACTTCACATTTCAGCCT